AATCATAGTCTACCAAATTTCCTTCAGTAACTAGCTGTCCTACCATCCTTGCCATATAAAGTGATCTAAATTTACTTTCTATACCAATCAGTAACTCACTTTTGTGTCAATGCATTTCCGTTGTGCTTTTCAAATTATTTTAAACCTTCAAGAAAGTTGTTTAAAATAAATCACTATAACTTTAATGATGTATAAATACGACATATGGTTTTGAAAAGCTTTCTTCTTCTCCCAGACCTCCTTTTCTTTCTATATCAGTGTTTTAAAACTTTACATCACACTTTTCCCTTGTTAGTTTGGATCACTGTTTGGGCAAGACTCTTAGATAAAACCATTAGTGCATTTCTATAGGAGAATGTATTATTTACAAAAAATATAGAATTACTTCCCGCTGTTTGTAGCAAGTTTGCTTTGCAGCAAGAAGGTTCGATTCCTGGGGTCTTTCTGCATGGAATTTACATGTTCTCCTTTCGCAATCATGGTTTCTCTCCAGGTACTCCAGGTTCTTCACACAGGTCAAAACCATGACTGTAGGTTGAGTGGCACCTCTAAATTGTTCAAGTGTGTATTTATGTGTGTGCACATGGTTGTATGTCTTTGTGTGTCTCTATGTTGCCTTACGACAGACTGTCAACCTGTCAAGGGTGTACCCCACCTCTCACCCATAGACCGGTGATCAGCACCAGCCCCACTCTGACCCTGACTGAATAAGCAGGAGAGGATGGAAAGATGGATAAAATTACTTGAGCTGCACAGTGACAGTCTGCAGCTTCGCTGCATTGCAGAGGGTGCTGGGTTTGATTCCCGGACTAGGGTCTTTTTACATGCAGTTAGCATATTCTCCCTGTGCATGCGTGAGGTCTCTCTGGGTGCTCCGACTCCCTTCAACAGCCCAAAAACATGACTTTTATGATAACTGGCATCTCCAGATTGTCCTTATGTGTGTTTGCATTTGCATGTTTATGTGTCTCTGTGTTGCCCTGTGACAGACTGGCGAGGGTGTAGCCCACCTTACGCTCACCTTGACCCCCACAAAATAAGCATAAGAAGAAGGGTGGATAAAATAACTTGAAATTGGCAGTTGCCAAAGCATCAAATTATCTGCTTTCAAGTTTGAATTCAAGAAAGAAATTCAGCAGAAAGTTTCTGCTGTTTAAAATTCCTGCTTCTGTACTAATCTATCTCTACAGCTACTGTGTACAGTATGCAAGCACTGAAAATATCGGTACTGCCAGAAAACCATAAAGATTTTTTTTTCTTAAACTTTATAAGATAAGAATAAATAAGGCTTTGCCTAATAACAACTTTTTAACATCTTGGGTAAAACAACAAAAAGGGCACAGATAGCATGGTTTATCAAAACATTTTAATTTCTTGAACAACAATACAGTATGTCACAGAAAAATCACAGAGGAATTAAGACAGGTCTGGCTCAGGTTTTCTTCTAAGTGACTTCTTTTGGAAACAGTGAGTGCAGCATAAATCAAACAAGTGTAAAGAAGAAAAAAAAAGCATTGTTACATCCTCCAAAAAGTACTAATGAGGACAAAACACCAGGAACCTCGAAGCCAGAAAAAGTCACATCCCTAAGAGTCTCTGCAAAAGTGTCAATATTAACAACTACAGCTAATGCTTATCATAAAACCACTAATGCCACACAAGATTATGTATTTCATACAATGGAAGAAAAGTACAAAAGAAAAAAAAGTTGTGTTCTCTTAATTACAGTACAAAGACATCATTCAATTTCCAGTAAACCGTGTTGAAATGGTTCTAAGCACCAGATGGTGGAGTTGAGCTGAATCCTATGTCCATACATCAATATATGCTGTTTGATGAGGGGGCACCGAGGCAAGTAGGGGTCTAGCACCATGAATATTAAACTTTCCCCCTGATTGCACTTCCCCTATCCACACACTATGACCATACTACAATTTTAAAATACCTTGTAGCCCCTTATCAAGTGAACTATCCTTTGATATGCAATAAATATTTAAGCAAACCACCATTTACAGTATAAATAATGTCACCATTTACAATTTATCATTTTCTCTATTATCCAACATAAAGGAAATCAGAATAACAGAAACTGACAACAAAAAGAGGTATAAAAGTGGGAGGAATTTTCCCATCGCAGTCGTTTAAACTAGAGTGAAACAGGATAATTTCAGCATGTATTAGAATATAACAAAAAAACAAAAAAAATTACATTAACAAAGCTGATTTCTGAGAACAAAATTACACGTTCTAATGAACCTGAAGCAGATAAATTATGTACAGAAAATGGTGTGCACAGACCATGGAGGCCAGAGCTGGGCCCTGAAACCTGGCATTTCAGAGTAAGTCATAACAACTAATATCATACCAGTGATACCACAACTTCATTTTAATGCTATAATTCTGATAATCATCTTGCAAATGTCTATTTGTTGCGGTTGGCAAAATATTAACCAGTTAAGAGCCTGTTCAACAGTCAAAGAGCACCATCAAGTTGAATTTCCTTTTGGAAGTTACGATTTTTCATACAAACAAAGCACTGCTGAGATGGCATTTACTTTTTTTTGTCACAAAATAAAATGTACATCTATATATATTCATAACTTGCAATATAATATATATATAATAGTCTTGACTGATCTATAATCAGAGATGTTCTAAGTATAAGGGAGTCCCCTGATTCTGCTCAAATTTCCTTTTTTTGTGTTCTTTACTGGACAGATGTGTAAATTGATTTATAATTGGCATTTTTTTTAAATAGTCTTTTTCCTCTATTATGTATTTTTGCTTTTCACTCATAATCTAAGAATTTCTGATACCATTTTACACTGACGTTCATAATAAAAAATAATTGTCTGCTGCCATAACATAACTTGGGTTGCTGTTCATTAAAAATCCAATCAGTTTATTAGTTTATGAAGCATGAGAATATATTCCACAAATCTTATCAAGGGAATGATTAAATAAATAAATGGGACTGTAATAATGTTTGTAACAAGCTATAACGTCAACGACTTATGCATAAACAATTAGTAAGGTTGCTAACATTAGCTTAGCACATTGACCAACAGGCTGTTGAAAACAGCAGCTGCATGGGTTGCATCAAAAATAAAAAAAAAATAAAAAGATAAAGCCATTGTACTTATAGGTGACTTGTTTCAGGAAACAACAGCAGCTCTTTGTGGCTAACTGATCACGTTGGGGTTTTCATGTTGAGTTTGTCCAGTGGAAACACTGGTTTGGGTATAATTAGTGAAGAGAAAGTAATATTGAACTGGATGTAAGTATTAGAAATGGCTGTTTTTTTCTTGTTAAATATATATGAACTGATACTGATGATACTGCAGAATTTCCACCATGCAAGTCAAAACTTTTAGATCAAAACAGAACATGATCATCGGTTAAAGAATTTATTCTAATTAATTCAAGCCTTTGGTAGTGTGTGGCACTAAGCTTCACCAGGACAGGTCCAGGTCCAGACCGGAAACCAAGACTGAAATGCAGGAGCTGTTCATCTGTTTGGCATCACTGGTCTTTGCATTAGAAGAATAATGATTATGTGTATCTTTGCACATTTGACCTTATTTTTCATTTTACTCATATAAGCGTCAGTGTTTAAAACCTTTCACAAATCGGCTGCTCTTCATCTCTGTCTATGCACACCACTGTGTCTTCAATAAATTCATTGACATTTTACAATTCTTTATTTTCTCTGTTACCTACAAACAATAACATTTCAATAAAAGAGGTATAAAACCGGGACTCTTATATTCCCCATTCCAAAAGTAAAAATGACAACTCGATGTTGATTTTCTTGCTGTGTTTTATAGAAATCACCTTGACCATTGTTTTTGCTAGACTCGTTAAAAAGTGAACATGTGAAATAGTCCAATTTTATCTCTGTACAGCTGATTTCCAACTAAGAGTGAAACCATATTAGTCCTCAAGTAAACCCGTATTTTAGAGAAACTGAGAAAAGTTTTAATTTAATTTACTAAAAACCTCATTTGTGTGTAAGTTTAATTGGCTAATTACCTCTAAATACAGTTCACAAGGCCAATGTGGTGTACTTCTAGGCTGGTAAAACTTTGTAAGTATCTAATGAGAATAATAGTATTGGTATAGCACCTCAAAGAGTTTACATACAGGAATTACAAATATCAGTTTACCTGAATACAGCAACAAAACAATTAAAAACAGAAACCAACACTATGCCGAATGTGACAATCAGCTACTTCCCCTGCTGGTACAATAGAATCACAGCAAATTCATGGACATATAGAATAACTAGATTGGTGTAAAAAAGTTCTACTGAATTTGCATAAAAGTACCTGAATCAATACATAAAACCGGCTACTAGACGCTTTTGAATCACAGCAGTGTCCGTTGAACATATACAGCCTGATTTCAGTGGCATCAGTGCTCACATTGTTTTTTTAATACTCATATTAAATGCTCTCTGTGAGAAGAACCAGTCTAGTCATTCTATTTCAAAACACACGTCCAATCTGCAGGTGGTATGGGGAAGACGGTGAGCTAGAGTTGGATTGGCTGAATATCCATACCTTATTGTGTGATGTAAACAATACTGAGTAAACGTGATTGGCTGATTTAGAGAGCGTTTGCTGAAGCGGGCCGCCTTGGCGGCGGCTTCTGTGCTGCTGTTAGAGTTTTGGTTATGGCTGAGAGACGTGCGACATGGAGGAGTCCTCACTTTGAAGGAGGCAGAGGGGTCTGAGTGGAGGGAACAAAGAAAAAACCAGAAGTCAGATGCAACATAAAGCCAAGTGGTTGTCATACAGGAAATACATTTGATTTGAAACCCAAATGGCACACATTTTTTTACATTTTCAATCATTATTAGTTTTAACGGTTGGTTTATAGTGCAGGTATTGGGTAAAAAAGTTGTTTGATCCACTGCTGACTTCTAAAGCCGGACAATGTCTATTTAACTTTTTATTTTGCAGTTAGAGACATATCACTTTAACCAAATATGCAGACAAATTAAATACTTTTAAAGTTGCATATTGAAATGCTCGTCATCAAATAAAATAGACACATGATCACCAAGTTTAATATAGCTTGATGGAAAAACCTTTGTTAGCATCACATTGGTGAAATGAGGTCAAATTTTTAGGTTTGCACACGTTAGAGCTGGTTTTGGTTCAAACCACTCTGTGCTTTAGATATTTCAGTGGTTATTCATGGTAATTCCAAGTTTTAGCTCCTTTTTGCATAACTGAAATCTAAAGACTAGCTAAACCACTGCACTTTAACTAGACTCTTCTTTATTCACTTCTTTGTCTCTCTGAAAGTGCATTTTGGGCTGGTGGAAGATGGATTAATAACCCATCTCCCAGAGAGCGAAGAGGGTTCATGTTAAGAAATTTCATGGTACATGGCTCATCACATTGACTTTAACTGTTTAGGTTATCATGGTTCGATATCAGAAAAAAAAAAAAAAAACACTAAAAGTTCTCCACCACCATCCTTCTCTGTGGTGATGCAGTTTCTCTATAATGCTAGATCTACGCAATCTATACATACTTATTCCAAGGGAAAGTTAAGAAAGGAATGTACATATGCCATTTACAGCATAGTCTCACATCTGCTGGTAGCAATATAGTGTGCTACAAATGGTATTGCTGGTGACTGGTCACAAGCATGATCAGAGCATCTAATCTAGATGTTAATTCTCCCTCACCTTCCTTACAATCCTCCTCTTTGTTATCAGTCCATCTATCTCCACTGTCTATATATGGTTATTGCAGAGGAACCAAAGCCTAACTCCAGTAATCATTGACTAGGATTTGGTTACCCTGGACAGGTAATAAATTCAAGAACGTAATATTGTACTTTATAGTAACATACATTTAAGTCTGTATTCACTCTTTGCAGAAAAACAGACTTAAATCATAACCCTTTCATTCTTGTGAAAGATAGTGGAAATGGGCTATTCACTACGTTGCGGCGGTCGCTTTGCAGCCTCTTGCAGCCTCTGCAAGATTTCTATTTAATACAGGGTAGCCTGTTACAAATGGTGTTAATGGTTAGTTTCAGTCTCATTTGCCTTCGGGCCATTAACAAGCTAAGTTTCTGAACTTGTTTGAGAGGTCTTCAGTCTTGTTCATGGCGGTGGAGAACTTGAAATGGTAATATATGTGTTTTTTTTATAGACGGGAGAAAGACAAGTGAAACGGAGAACTTCTTTAATAGATGGATAGGTGAATGGTAGAACAGTGAGTACATTTCCATTCAGTTGCTGGTACAGTTCAAACCATTTTACAGACACTTGAGATTCGTCCTAAGCAATTAGTACCCCACACCGATGGATAAACTCTCCTTTAGGGGAAGTTTGATAATCTATGAACCGAGTCTGTTTCAGGCTGGAATTCAGTGCTTTTATTATGTATCTTGAGATATGACAGGAACTGATGGGAGAGAGATAGGATGATGACAGCCGAACAAGGCTCCAGTTGGATGTTTGAAATTCTTAGTTAGCCAAAGAAAACACTGGTCTAACAGATCAGACTGGGGATATGATGTACTGTAGCTCGGTGGCCAAAACTAGTAGAGGAGGAAATGAAGGTTGTTTATGTGAATATGAGAGGCAGGTCAGAAATCTTTTAACTGTTGTCGGACAATTTTTTATCTCTCTTCTATCATATATTAATTTATCCTATTTACTCACTATAAAAGTTTTCACTCTCAAGGCCAAACCATTCTCTGCAGTATGGTGTTTATAGACCAGACATAGCTTCTTCCCATAACAAACCAGATTCTTTCTTAAGGTTTATTCATAACATTTTACTGTTTAACCAAAGTGTTTGTAATTTGTTTTGACTCTGACTACTTTCCATTGTTGTAAGTAAGGGGTAACAAACGCTGCCCAGATCAGAACAGGGAAGAATGCTGTGGCATTAGGGCCGTATGATGAACTGTTCTCTCTTTGCAAAGATATGAATAAATGTGCCGACTGAGTGAAATCCATCGATCTCCGTTTATTTAACTAGGATGAATAGTCGAATACTTTTTTTCCACGACATAACAATCAAATTTAAAACCAAAAAAAAAGAATTTAGAAAATATTGATCAGATAACATAATGGCCAGGGGTAAATAATCTGTTGTAAACAAACTATTTGCATAATCAGTTTTCATTAAGTTAATTTTTTCAGTTGCTATAACATCATTAGTGAAGTGTTTCGTTAAACATTACAAACGTTAAGCATTTTTATTGATGTACTGTAGTGAATTCATGTGGTTATTTTACAGTTCTCCTGGACACATGGGTNGTAGTGAATTCATGTGGTTATTTTACAGTTCTCCTAGTGACATTGGAAGTTCTGTGTAAATAAAAAAATCATGGTTATATTGTAAAATGTTTCTTGGATATTCGATTGATGGGGAAAATTTTGGTAACATTAACGGTACACAGAACAACCTTACTGCTTTACATGTGCCTTTGCGAACCAAATACATTTGTAAATGGGTGTATATTCATAGTAAAAAAGCAGGCACATTCCATCTAAGTAGGAATTTTTAAATATCTAAGTTATCTAAGATTTTTGGGGTGTGTGTTTTTTTTTTAAAACTTTCACATTTGAGCCTTTTGTTACAGGTGGCTCCTGTATACATTTAAAGCCCTAAAAGGTCACATGGCTGTGAAATAGATATTTTCAAATCTCACTTAGAAAAAAATAACAGTTTCAAAAAACTTTGGGTTTTAATGTTACCAATTAAAATCTTTGTCATGCTTGTGCTACTCTATAAAAAACAAAATGTTAAAATGTTTAGGTCTGGTTTGGCATCGAAGACTTAAGCACCTCAAACATATGGAAAACATTTAAATCAAATTACAATACCAAGTTTTTAAAAAAAAAATCACATTTTTCTGAGAGAGATTTGAGAATAAATCCCTATGTCTGACCATGCATTCCTTTGTTACACTTCTGTTTTATGTCTGTATTACATGCCAGTCCACTAGGGGGCTCTGTAGTACAGGAAGTGTTTATATACTGTAGTGTCACAGTGAACAGTGAAGAAGCATGTGATGAAAAAACAAAAACAACAAAGATTTCCTTCAAATAATCTTAACGTGAGGTTATGTTTGGAAAATACATTTGAGACTTTTAGTGGTAAATGTGCATTGATGCAGGTATAAACCATAAAGCATTATTCATTAACAACTGCTACGAAAACATTAACAGCCAAAAATATTTCAGTGCTTGTAATATTGGATTACTTTAACAAATAATTATTTGGGTGTTACTGTGCAGTTTGAAAAGATTAATGATTTAATCCCTATAGGTTGTCTTATCTCCTCATGGTACTGAAGGTACCATGTTGCTGCACACATGCAAATGTGACAATTCATAGTTTTAGCAGTCTGGTTGACAAAGATGTATACCTCTACCCTGATCAAAAGGCTTACCTGTAGTACTCCTCTAATACATATGCTTTGGATTTTAAATTGGCAATAATTACCCAGCGTTTTTGCTTTAAGAATCTGGGCATATTTTTCAAATACTTTGCGTCAGAAGAGCAACAAAATCATCATCATCATCCTAATTTCTTATTCATTAATGAATGTATAAATGAAGCTGCTGGCAGAAATCTATTGAATTTATTTACTTCCTAATGTGGACCACATTTTGATATTGACACTTAACTGTAATTTTGAAGATGACTGTTTCCTTTTCTAATTTCTCACGAGCGATACTGACCAACACAAAGCTGTCGTAGATCTTCATCAGCTCCTCCATACGATACTGTTCTAGCACCACCACCCCGGCTAGAGATGTGCTCTTTGCTCGAGCGCAGTCCTCACAGTGCACCACGTAGGTCTTCTTAGTGCTGCTCTCACTGGTTACTAAAAGGAGGTTAAACACCTCCACCTGCACAGGGACAGGGTTGATTTGTAGATAATTTGTAATACATTAAAGGGACGAATTTCTGGTGTTCTTCTGGGTTCCGTTGAAAAGTCATAAGCAGATATTTTATTTTAAAAAAGTCCAAATTGAGTAGCACCTATATGTTAAAGCTAATGACCTGCTTGAGAAGAGCCAGGACAAAAAATAAAATCATTGTTTGTACTGGTTCATTATTTAGTTGATCCCTGAACATGGAACTAAGAGCTAGCCCAGTAGCAACCAGTACCAATGCAGACTTGTATTGTCTTAAAAAAAATGCAGTCATAAAAATGTCATAGCATAGATTTAATTTAATTTTTTCATAAGATGTTATTTATTCAGTTCTGGAAACCAGACCGAAGAGGAAAAAAAATGACCAAATCAGAATTGTACCACCTAAAGCCAACTGCGGTCTTGAAAATGTTATTGCTCTTTATGCAAATGCTAAATAATCACTACCTACACAGAATCACTTAGCAGTCCTATTTTCTCTGTATTTAGCTAGTATCATTTCCAGCCTGTCCATTTCTCACACAGCTGCAGTCTGTTACTAATTCCTTCCCGTTTTGCATTCTAGTAATCAACCTCCCAAGATTTTAAGCTTAACTCTTCAGGTATACTTTCTAATTTCCACAGAATTTTGCTGCATTACAGGTTCTCTCAATGGGTTCTCTGCATTTTTGATCTGTTTACTCTCAAAACAAGAGAGCTTTGCAGACAGAGATCATCTGTGCACCTCCTAGTACCTCCATTTACCTCCGTCTGAGCATAAAAAACATTCAATGCAAAGTTTAAGGTAGATTAAAGGTTGATAAAATAGAATTCATATCGACATTTGGACTATTAGGAATGTTTAAAGACAAAGGAAGTCTGGTTTGGTCTTGGCCCATCCAAAGTAGCCATTAGTTTCAGCCTCAAGGATGAAATAATCTGGATATATGCTAAACAACGAAACAAAGATAGTTCCCAATGTAGGTAAGATATCTATAGCTTATAAGCTTTCAGCAGAACATCACATTAGAATTCCAAACTATTCCTGATTGGATTTATTATACTTTAGAGGGACTCACGTCACACTCATTGCAGTAGTAGGCGGGCTCATCCTTCACACGGCTCTGGTAAAAGATTTTCTTTCCTGCAGCCACCAGCTGGTCTCTAAGTACCTGGATATGCTTGATGGACTGCATGAGGCAGTGTCTGAGTAGAAAGCGGGAAACAGAGAGAGGAAGATGTAGACAGCCATTCATCCACCTCCAGATGTGCTTACAGTGACAAACGTCTTACTTGATCATCTTGAAGGTGTCTTTGTCTGTGACCTTGAGGGTCCGAGCCACGTTCCATGAAACGTGGATCATGGGAACAATCGACTTCACATTCTTCACCTCGTTCCACTCAAAGCGCTCCAGGGCGAGTTGATACTGGTATGCTGCAAAGATAGAAAAACAAATTACAAGCAGCCATGCAGTTAATAGAAGCGGTGACTATTAACAGCATCATCAAGTTTTACAAATCTGCTTCCTTCTCTTTTGAAAAATTACCATTAAGAGGTCCCACGTTCCAGGCTATGTTGTTGCACCAGCCCACGGCTTGAACCCAGTGAACCGTCCCAGCGTTGATCCACACCAGATCTCCTGGTCTCTGGATGAAGCGGTACACAGGGATGTTGGAGCTGTAAAGATCCTCCAGGACTGGCCACCAGGACCCCGTAAGGTAATCGACACCATGCCTGTTGGAAAAAAAAGTCAACAAGAAAAAAATTAGTCTACAGATAATGTTGCTGCACCTGTTGATTGAATTTTATACTCACTTGTCACAGAATTGGTTTATAGCGTCCCAGTAGTGTTCATGGACAGCAAACCACTCACAGTCTCCGGGCCCGATATTAATGTTGACGGAGCAGAAGTTGTTGTTCTCTTGATGCCCTGATGAGAAGAAGAGTCTTTTCACTTATACAAAACAATAAAGCAGAGTTGCATCTAAAATCTCAAATTACGTAGCCACTTTAAAATTAACGGCCCTGTTCATCACCGATCTACTGATTGTGATTAAGGCAGACAAAAAGACAATGTGACTCTCAACAAAATATAGCAGCAAAATAGCAGTCTCTCCCTGCAGGTTGTTGCACAGATGCATTTACACAGATATAACGAAAATAGGGCAGTTTTACCTCACTGACTTATTATTTTTGATACCTCATTAAGTTGAAAAGCACCATGTCACAAGATGCTTTCAGCAAGAATGTTCAAGCTGAAAGAAAGCTGTATTATACC